GAATACAAACTGAAGCTCTGCACAGTCTACTGGAGACTGAGTGTGTGGACTACCCAACAAAACATCCCTTTATCTTAATTGTGTGTCAACGTAGGCTGTTGCTGCAGGATGGGGAAAGTATCATTAACAATTTATCATCAGTCTCCTTCACATGCAAACTTGCACCAAAATAACAGATACAAATAAAACCCAACTTAATTATTTTGCATCTGTGTGGGGACAATCCACAGACTTACACCAAAATAACTAAGGTCTGGTCTACGCTAGAAAGTTATATTGACATAAGTCCCCTTGCATCAACCTAGCTGTGTATGTCTCTACACTGAAATTTTTCTTTGGCCAATGTGAGCACCCCGTTAGAGTGATGCAGTAACACCACCTTCCCAAATAGTGTTGAGCCATGGTTGACCTACTGAGGTTGACACAGTGCAAATGTAGACACTGTGTGATCTCTTTCAACCTCAATAGTATTCCAGCAGCTGTCTCACTGTTGACTGTCTCACAGTTGTGAACTCCAGTGCCCAGGGGGATCAGAAACCAGAAGTCAAGCCTCCCCTTTAAAAATCTTCTGTATTTTGAAATGCCTTTTCCTGATTGCCCAGCTTGGAGAGCACACCTAGCAGCTCTTCCTTTTGCGCAAGTGCTCAACTGACTAGGCTGGCTCAATGCTTTAGATGCATTCCTGCTTGGAGCAGATGGGAGGTATTGGATTTCCTCAGCCTATGGGGAGAAGAGACTGTGCAGGCACAGATAGGGAATTGTCATAGAAACATGGACATTTACTAAAAGATTTCACAGGGGAAGCAGGTCAGGGGGTACAATGGGGAACAGCAGCGGGCATACTACAAGGCCAGAAAGGCCAACAGTTGATCTGCTGTCAAGTCACAGATCTGCCAATTTTTACAACAAGCTGCATGTCATACTTGACGGAGACCCCACCAGCACCCGGCAGACTACTGTAGAGCCCTCTGAGGAGCTGGAGACAGAGACCCTGCAGTTAACAGCAAGCAGGAAGAAGAGGATGGGGGACCTGCAGCAGGGTGAGGGTCCAACTATGCCTATGCTGTGAGCCAAGACCTGGTTGAGACTCCACCAGAGTCTAGCCAGTCCCACCGGCCAAGCACAGACAAGCCCAGTGCAGTGGAAGGAACCTTGGGTAAGTGTATGTGTGCATTTTTCCTCGCAGTGTTTAAATGTACATATAGTGCTTGGCCACACTCCAACTTAGCAGGACATGGGTATAGACTTTTCATTTTATTTGTACTAGACAAGGTAGCAATACAACAAAGGGGGTAAAGTTGGTATCCGCCTGTCATTCCCCTGTCGAATTTGAGGGATGGGAGGTGTGGAGTAGTTTGTTCACGTACACAGGCTGTGTCTTGTATCCTCCTGAGTGATCTTGATAAAACTTTCATTGGAGGTACTCTGCAGTCCTCTCCTGACAGTTTCTAGGGATGACAGCCTTGTTTCTAACTCTGGAAGGATACTTTCCTACCCCACTCTGTGATGACTTTGGCAGGCACTGTTGCAGTAAACAGGCTAGCAGCATACAGGCCCTGGTGGCTTTGCGATGCCACAGCCACTGTGCTACCAGTGCCTTTTTTAAACTCAGGAGTGAGAGCTTTGTTAAAATCGCTGCCTCCTGTGGAAAATAGTGCCATTACCCTGTATTCATACTCATGGAAATAAAGGCTGAAATTCTGTTTTATACAACAGAACAACTCTCTCTTCATTCCTCCTCCCACCCCTGTTCTGGCTGGCTCATAGTCATGGCTGGGGCTGGAGAACGGAGAACTGTGATGTGCAGGGGTGCTCCAAAGCTATCGTGTCAATAAGCATGTCTTATTTAAAATGCTTATAGGAGTAAGGAAAGGCAGTTGTGAAATTTAGCTTTCACTTTTATAGTCACAAAGGAAAGTGATACATCAGTGTGTGTATCATCTGTAACTACTGTCGTTGCAGCCTTGAGGGGTGCCCCTCCACTTGCTTGGAATGCCGGACCCTGAGGAGAAAGAGGAGGGTATGTTCAGTGCGATCCTGCAAGCCAGTGCTGTATTGGATTGTGAACAGATGACCTAGAGGGTTAATGTAGCAGCCAACATGAAGAAGGCAAGTAAATGTATGGTGGTGGATGCCTTTGTAAATTGAAGAAGGAGCAGTAAGTCAGCGGGAAATGTCCTCTGGACCTGAGCCAATCCACAGGCTGGGGCTTTACGTTTGACATCCCTGAATTAAGGCATATTCAGAAACAGTCAGTCTCCATGTAAATACCAAGTTTATGGAAAAAACTTCATCTCTTGCTAAATTGTTCCAATGATTAATTATCCTCTGTTAAAAATTTGCACTATTTCCAGTTTTACTTTTATTGAGCTTTGACTTCCAGCCATTGAATTCTATTATTGTACTTAAGTTTTGGGAGCTGAAACTGTTCCTTGTTAAAGGCTCTTCAGCTGCAGCATGTTATAAAATCAAGATGAATTTCCAAAAAATATACATTTATTGCATACCAAAACCAGTAAAGAAACGATGTGCAAGTTAAAAATGAAGACAATAAAACAAATTAACAGAATTTTACAAGGGGAAAGAATATTCATGTCCATTTCAATCCACTTTGGTTACACACACTGACCTGTGAGAGCCACAACTGCTGAATATGTGAAACCGTCTGCCCCTAATCCATGCTACCTTTTCAGTCTGTAAAGTTCTAGACCAGGTTCCAAAGTTCCCATCTCAGTCAGAGGGTTCTGCATGGGCATCACAGCAAGTGGAGCACCCCTAGGGACACTACTCAAATGAAGAGAGGTTGGTTACCTTGTACTGTAATGTTTTTTTGAGATTTGTGTTCCTATGAGTGCTCCACTACCTGCCCTCCTTTCCCTCTGCTTCAGAATTTAGTCTCCATGGGACTGTGTAGTAGAGAAGGAACTGAGGCTGGTTATCTGTTAGCCCTATGTATCCTCAGTATGGGTCACAAGAATTGCTAAAGCACCTGTGCCGACTGAATGACTACTGCTGAAAATCACCATTTGAAGGCTCATATACACCACCCATGGGGACACACCTCTCAGAATATTCCAGTTACTGCACAAGGTTAGTAACCTTTCTATACGTATTGTTTCATAGAGAGAACTAACTTTAATAGAAGTGATGGCTTCTGCGAGAAATAAAAATATAACTAATTTGTCTTTGCAGACAACTTTCCTAATAAATAAATGTCCATCTATGACATGGTCAGAATAGGATTTGGATAGATAAGTTACCCTAGAGGAATGAGTTTTGATTTGGAAAAGAGGACCAGCAACCTCATCATCTGCATGATGAATGCACATTTAATATAGTGTTTCAATAATACGTCATGCAGGTCACGTTAGAAAACAGATTGGATGGGGATAAATATTGGAGAAATTGTGAAAGAGGTGGTTTTACTCATCTGATGGACATGTCCAGTCTGCCTACTAGGGTGCAATTTATAATCAAATTTTACAAATGGTTGGATATTTATTACCACATGCTCCAGGACCTTCCTTGTGGAAATGATCCCTTTCAAAGAAATTAATTACTCTTTTCTATTACTAGCTCTACTACTGAAGGCTTTTCACAGACAAAAGAAAAACTGTTCAAAAACTCAAGGAATGGTTCCAACAAAATGAGGAAGTTAGAGAAAAAATAATACATCAATTATGTACCCAACACAATGAGATGCTTTGGTTACTATTTATTCAATAATCAAAATACACATGTCCATAACAGTACAGCTGTCCCATTTCTTGAATATTGTTTGAAAAGTTATACATTTTACTCTTAATAATTGCACCAGAAACATCTAGTCTCATACTTTACACAGAGCTTTGATTATATTCCTGCATGTTTCTTTACACTAAAGCGTTCGCTATAATTGTTTTACTTCTGTTTACAGGCTGTTTTGTAAAGGTGTTAACACTCCCTAATATGAAAAGCCTGTGCCATTTCACACAGCTCCGTTAGTGATGGCATTCATCTTAGTTTTGCCAATGAGAAGCGTGGAAGGTGGTTTCCCATTTATTATGCTGCAGTTTAGGCATTAAATCAGGCTCGGTACTGCGTGTTTAAAAATGGGAAAGCACGTATAAGAGCTGTGTAGGGCCGAGCAGTAGCCCCCTTTTAGCAGAATTCTAGGCTCAGGGCTCGTGCCCCGTAACCGTTTTTTCACAAGTGTAAGGGCTGGAGCAGGCAGCGGTACCTCTACCCGGCCCTAGCCCGTAGGGGACAGGGCCGATCGCTGAACGCTGGACAGTGATGCGGCCGCCACAGCCCCCTGCGGAGACGTGGCGTAGCGATGGCAGCACGCGCTCGGTTTATGCTGAACCGTTAACATCGCCCCTGGATTGCCGTTTCGGGGGGGGCTGGGGTATTGATCCGTCCTCCTGCCCCACCACCCTGCTGCCATTGGCCTGCCCCAGCCGCACCCGCCGGCGGGGCCTCACCGAACCGCACAGCTGCGTGTCCGGGGTGGGCGGGCCGCGATGTGCCCTGAGCGGGGTTCCGGCCCTGGCACCTGGGAAGGAAGCACCAAGAACCGCTTCTCCCGCGGGGGAAGACGGGTCCCTCCGCACCAGCTCCAGGGCGCCCCGCCCGGGAAGACGGTCACGAGGTGCTGCGCTGCCCTACGGGAGCAACCGTTGTTCGCTGGTCAGCAAACCCGGCTCCTTGCGCCCCGAGTCCCAGGCTGAACCGAGTCCCGGCCGCAGGAGGCGGGGCTAAGCCGGCAGGACCCAGGCGCCTGCGCCCGGCCATGGAGGGGGAGCTCGGTAAGAGCCGGGTGTCCCCTGCTGGGCAGGCCGCTGTACTGGGGGCTGCGGTGACCCAACCGCTGTTCGGCTCAGCCCGAGGGCGAGGAGGCTTGGCTGGGGGTAGGGCGAGGGAGTGGTGCAGCCGCCGGAGGCACCGTCACACGGCCCCGACCCGCTGAGGTGTCAGCGCCGGTGCCCAGCCCCTCGGCGCTCGCTGCGTACGTTGCTCTGGGGTGGTAACCAACCCCCTTCCCGAGCCGACTGGGGGCGGCAGACTGGGGAGCGGGCAAGAGGCTCTGCCCAGAGGCGCTGGCTGCGGGCGGGCGCCTGGCCGGTAGACGCAAGTTGCAGAGCGGCAGGGCAGAAAACCGACCCCCAGACTAAATGACGGGGAAAACCCGCCGGAACCGGAGAATATACGTGAGGGGAGAGAAACTTCGAATTTCTGCTTCGTGACATGACGTCATGAATCTGAGCGCGTTTGCGTCATGGCGGCGGCGGGGCATCGTTAAAAAACCCGCGGGCCGCGTTAGAGGGGAGGAAACGCTCCTGTGTCTTCCATGGGCTGTCTTGTCCCAGGGAGCCGTGAGCTGCCCCTTCGCTCCCTGTGTCGACCTCTCTACTCCGCGCCTCGGACCCCAGCTAAAAGCCTGCTGCCCTCTGCTGCTAGGGAGCTTCCTGTCTCTGGGAGTCCATGAGCATAGATCCTGGAGTATGAGCGGGCTCCTGATAATTTTCCTATAGTTCCTAGGACTTGGCATGCTCCTGGCAGGCCCCATATGGCTATCCTTCTAAGGATTTTAAAAGGTGTATGTTAATGAAGCTCTGCTCCAGCCAGCCTCAAGAAGGGGAAAACGTCTCCCGCCCCCAAGATTTCTTTGCTCCCCATTTCCATGCTAAAGAAATTTTCTTACTGAATTTTTGTGGCGGTGAAGTGAAGTTGCAGGTAACTCAGCAGTGTGAGCGTGGCTTACTTTGCACAAATATTGAGATCTGAAGAAAATATAAACTCAGGATTGCAGTTCTCAAACAAGGCACCCAAACTATCTGACCCATCTGTAACAGTCCAATTTTATTAGTGATCAGAAAAACTAGAATGTCTTAATAGTAGAGTGGTGTGCTGCTTTACAGCCTTGTTTACACAGGACACACAAAAGGATTCTATGAATTCCTGCTTGAGGCAGAATGCACTGAATACAGGCAGTCATCTCTCGTTCCTCATTAAGAGTAGAGCCCTATAATAGCCAGCCAATTATCCACGTGTCATTAGACAAAGTTAGCATGTTACTTTAACAGACATCATCCCCCAATCATATGAGAACAGTTTAGTGAAAAAAACATCAGTTAGCATGCTGGCAAATCATCACACTTAGTATCTAAGATCTATATATGTAGACCCCTGCATAAAATTTGTATCTGCATTTGCAAAAATAGACCATGGATATAAAGCAGATCTCCATAGATTTGTGGGGCTCTAGATACAAAATTTGTGTCTGCATCTGATCCACAAAAATGGTCTGTGGATATAAAATGGATATCCATGATTTGCAGGGCTCTATATATATGAAACAAATTCTAAAATGAGCATTCTTTGTTGCAGTTTTGATAGTAGATATACATCAGGAAGATGGTGGGCTGGTATATCCAGGTGGCAAAATGAAAATAGTTTTGGTGCCTTATTTGAGAAATGCAACTAAACTCTACATCAGGTGGTTTGTTGTTTTTAAAAACTCTCACTCTTGAAAGATAATATGCCCTCAGATTGGGAGACTGCACCCTTAACTTAATTTGAAGAGAGTTATCTGTGTTTATCAGATTTTTGTTTCCTGCTGAATCAACAGGGAATTTGTATGGTAAGTAGAGCCCTGTATGGGATTAGTGAGCCCTGCAGTGGGACCCTCTGGCATAACAGTGGGAGTGGAATTAAAAATAGTCCCAAGCAGAGGTCTAATGGGAAGTACATTGTAACAATGGGACAATGATCAGAATTTACTACCTGATGCTTCTAGGGTGATGCTAGAAGAATAGATTAACACAGTTCAGGTGAATGAAAGAAAGATGCCATAATGGTGAGGATCATAAGGGCAACTGAAGCACCTATAAAACCAGGGAGATTTTATAGTTACACTTAAAATCTCTGTAGTACGGAACCTATTATGCCATCATTTTCCTGCCAATGGTTGAGAGGAATGTGCCCTCTACAGAAAGCAGAAGAAGAGACAACAACAGATGAGAAAGTATTATAGAATTATGGATAAATGGGAATTTTGGTTTCAATAGCAATCTTTTCCGCTCAATCTCTCTCTCTCGCCCCCCCCCCCTGTATATTTTAGCTCCTCTCTCACTTCCTCCCTGTAACAAACTGGCAGCCTTTACTGAAACACCTTGTCACAGTTCAGGGGAATTTGTGTTTCCCCTTAGTGGTTCAGCAAGGGCACCTATTCTTAGGCTTCTAGCTCCCTAGCTGTTGCCTTTCTTGGGTGGAAACCTGCATCTCTCTCCCTCCTGACCAGGATATTGCACAGTTCCGTGACTTTACTGTGATTTTTCCCAGCAAAAGACAGACTGCATAAGTAAGTCTGCCTCACTTCTCAGAGATGGTACAGTAATGTGATTGTCACAGTCATAAGTAAGGCTCCGTGTTTGTCACAGATTCCGTGACCTCCGTGATTTCTGCAGTGGCCCGTGTGGCTGGCCCAGGAGCCACCTGAGCAGCTCGAGCACCCCCTGAGCCAGTTGCACCAGCTGCTGCTGGGGCAGTCTCAGGGCCCCCCCACCTCCCAGAAGTAGGAGTTTGGGGCTCAGGCCTGGGGATAGGGGTACAGGGTGGTGCTTACCTGGGGGGCTCCCCGGAAGGGCGACAGGAACTCCCCTCCCTCAGCTCCTAGCTCCATGTGCTGCCTCTGCCTGCAGGCACGGCCCCTGCAGCTCCCATTGGCTGCAGTTCCCAGCCAATTTCTGTGGAAATACATACAATCCCTCAGTAACACACAGACAATAGCATTTTTAATACAATGGACTCCCAAGATATTAAACTCAAATAAAGTTTGTCCAAGATGTCACACACCCACTCTGTTTGTTAGTAGCTGCTAATCCTGCTAATTTATTGAGCAGAGTTAGCAAGTTACGTGCTACTTCACTGTTTATAAGAGCAGTGCAAATTACACCATGAAACGGGCGTAGTCAGGTGGAGGGAACGGGGAGCGATCAAAATAAAAAAGTCGCTACCCGCTGCGGTGCTTTTACTCACCCGGCGGCGCTCCAAGTCTTCGGCGGCACTGAAGGACCCACCACTGAAATGCCACCGAAGACCCATGGAGCAAGTGAAGGTCCCGCTGCACACCGCTGAAGTGCCGCCAGGTGAGTAAAAGCGCCACAGCTGGTGACGCCTTTTTTTTTTTTTTGTATCGCTCTCCCTGCTCCCTCCGGGTAAGTAAAAATTAAAAAGGCGCCAAGAAATTGACAAGGCGTCACTTGTGCTTAGTGGGGGAGCAGCCGCTGCCCTGCTCCCCCCCCCAGCTACGCTACTGGCATGAAAAGAGAAGATTAAAGATGAGGACTGAGTAGTCTTTTGGGAGGAACCTTAGGAACAGCCAAGACCAGGAGAAGGTTTTTATCTTATTTTCTTTGCTAGTAAACTAAATCCCCAGGAAGAAGTTGAATTTGGACTTCATGTAGTGTGTTGATGGTGTTTTTTACAGCAGGATTGGAAAGGCATCTGCTTATTCTCTTGTCTGATGTCTTTCTTCCTTTTCCAGTTGCAGTGGTAAGAAAGTATTTAAAACTTTTCTTCATGTATGCAGTATACTTACTTTAAATATTATTGACATAGGAACTTGGAGTGGAAATGTATTGGATTATTTTCTGAACACTAACCAGATTAAAACCAGAGATGGAGCAGAAATTATCTGGTATCATGCAGCAAACAATAAATCACAAATGAAAGAGGCAATACAAAGTAAGTATTGTATGTGTATTTTGGAAAACGAATCTATCTATCATTGTTTTCACATAAAATATTTTTATGATGCTATAATCTTAGTTTGGTGACATAACATAGAATAAAGTGTTTCAGTGTCCAAAGTTAAGATGTAATTAAATTCCATTTGGATTTGTGGAAAGCATGTACTCAGTTTGGTTCTTTTGGGGAAACAATCTTTATTTGTCTCCTAAATGAGTACTTTGATAATTTTACACCCCAAGAAGCACATCTGCCAAATGCAAGTGATTTAACTGTTATCAAGATCGTTACCCCACATACTGAACTGCCATCCACATTTGTAAGGATGTTGAGACTTGGCTATTAAATGTAGAATGTGTCTCTGTTGTGACCATAAAAGTTAGCTTAGTTGTGCTGTCACCCTATTGACAAAGCACAAGTATGGATATGGTAATTAATAGTTTTTAGTTTTAGTTTAATTAATAGTCCCTCACCCAGGTTGTCTTCTTAAGTGATGTATTCACGTCTATTGAAGGCACAAACTTAACAGTCTTGCAGGTGAACAGCTGGTGAATGCTGCATCCAAAAATAACTTGTACCTTTGTCATGAGCTGAAGTAGCATAGTACATTTCAAGATGTCATTGACTATGACTATTCACCTGATTTTTTTCTGCTTAATTTTTAATAATTGCTAACCAGTTATTTTGTCTCACTAAATCAACAACTACTCTCTGTTGTCCTCTCTTAAGCGACCACCCTGTTTTTGTCCCTATCCAGTTTAGGATGTCATTTATTAACAGACCTTGAGTGGAACTTTCAAAGTGCAAACTGGTCAGTCCTCATTGCTGGCAGATAAGCCACTGTCCAAAATTCTACTTATGTATGTGAACAGTGCATTTAGATGAAATAAGTCCAATGTTCCTTTTGTGGTGACAGATACATATATACCCAAGAAGATCTGACCAAAGTGGGGCATTTCTGTAGTTATGTGAATAGTTCCAGTCTTAATATTGAATCCACTCCTGAGTTCACTTGATATCTGCCAACAATGAAGAACAATGATTGAAGAATTTTGATTTTGCACACTTGAATTGAACTTGTGTGAGCTATTCTGTGATACACAGATGCAGATAACTACCCAAAATGTCACCAAAATCTATTCTTCCCATCAAGATATTGGAGAATACAAAAACATCTGCCAATAGGCTTCATTCATTTTTCTGGAGTGACAGTGGTGATCTTGGTCTTTTGGCTCAGTTGATAGTGATGACTGTGATCTATTCATCAGTTACATTGCAAAATCTGGTGACTCCATGTTTCCAAAACAGTCTAGGGTTCCAAGGATTTATGGTTTTATATTAACAGATCATCTTCTTCTATTGCTTTTTAAAATAAATGTTTAAAATATTTTAATGTGAATATATTGGATAATCTTTCTTAGAAGCTCTGAACTGTATTTTTTTGTTTTTTCCTTTCATGAAAATTTAATTACTTCAAATTATTAGATTTTGTTTCCAGTGGAATTTAATTTGATTTGTAAAGGAATTAGGAAAATAGGTAACTCAGCTACTCTGCTGCCTACTGAAAGTAAAGTTATGTCTCATATTATGTCTCAAGTTTTTAAATCTAAGTAACTTAAAATATGTGTGTGTGCATGAATATATATGCATATATATATGTATTATAGGTGGGGCTGCCTCTTAAGATTGCCTGACACTTTCCTTTATAAGAGCCTGTTTTCCTTTTCTTAGAACTTTGCTGTTTTTAACATTTGGGCTGAAGTTCTCCATGCTGGCTATCTGTCTCAGGCTGAATTGTTTTGGAAATTTTCAGCCAGGATGGTTCAGTCAGTTATGAGAATGGGGCTAAGGAAAGATAAATTTTTTTAAATTAAAAATTAAAAAAATCTGGAGACCTTTTCTTTGAGAAACTCTGGCACACCCATACTGTGTAGAAGGAGTTTGAAATTTGGTAGGGGAATGGCCTTATGAGAGAGATGCCTTTTCTGTTTCTGGGTGAAAATCCATGCAAATTTGGCGAAGTTATAAGCCTTTGAAAAACTGCAGTTCACACAGGTTTAGTAGAGACTTCTTAAGGTTTAGCCGCTAAAATCTCCTAAAATTCTATCTTCACTGAGTATGTTCCATCCCCTCTAGGTCCTAGTGCTGACCAGACTGCACATGCACCATACCCACAGAATGACTAAGAATGCTCCATCCCTTCATAGCTCCTATTTGTGACTGACTGAGCATACACTGTCTTCACAGAGTAACTGAGCATGCTCCATCCCCTCACAACTTTTAGTGTTGACCAGACTGTGTGTACATCATCCCTACAGGCAACCCTAATTCTGGCATTTCCTAACTTTGGAGTGCTTAACTTTGCCACCTTATAATGTTATTTTAATGTTGTTTTTGTGTGTAATATATAATACACATGCACAAAATCTGAAAAGTTGGGGATCTGGATATGTCACAATATTAATGTTTTAAATGAACAGGTGCTGCTCATATGGTAGAAGCAGATATTCTTCTTTGTGGTGAAGAAGAAGGAAATGGTGAACCAATCATGGCTCATCCTCCTGAAACAAACAGTGACAACACATTGCAGGCGTGGCTAAATGAGATTGTGAACACTAAAAAAGGCATCAAGCTGGATTTTAAGAGGTATGTAAAAGTGTAGCGGGGTGAACACCGGCTCCAGCCCTGAAAGGGTTGGAAAAGCCCTGCAGAGGGCTGGGGCTGGGGCTGCGAAAGGGAGTAAAACCTTGGCTGATTGGGGAAGTGGCTGCAGCTGGGGCCATGCCCCAAACTAAGGAACTGGGCCTTATAAGAAGGCCTGGGAAGCCAGAAGCAGCTGACTGGAGAGGGAGACAGGCCTGGCTGCTGGGGATCTCACCCAGGGAACCTAGAGTGAGGCAGGGCTGGGGAAAGGCCTTAGGAGCTGGGAAGCCCTAGGCCAGCAATTCCCCAGGCTGCAGGGCCTAGTCCTAGGCCTACCTAGGTATTGGACTTGCAGAGGGGCAGCTGGAGGGTGGGTAAAGGCAGCCAGTCCAAACCCCGTGTTGCCTATGATGATCAGCTGATAGACTGCAGTCTGCCCCGGGGCGCGGGGGCTAAACGGAGACTGGCAGTAGCCACGACTGGGGCGACGTGGGGATAGGGAGTGGGGGTTCCCCTGGGGTGGGGAAACCCAGTAAGACTGTGGGGTACTGCAGGAGGCAGAACCCTGGGATAAGAGCACCAGGGTCCCTGGGAGGGACATGGGGGCCAGAGGACAGGCGGATCACCAGCCTGCAGGGGGCGCTTTGGATGCTGGAAGAGCTAATTCCTGGAAGTAACCAGCAGGAGGCGCCACAGGGGTGAAGTCCGCTCTTCTACAAAAAGATTCACAAGGATTCTGCATTATTATTATTATTTATTAATAGTTACCACCAACTGGTTGTGTGTTGGTGCTGCCCATTGTAGGGCAAACTTCTGTTTACAGAACTTTTACTAACAATACATTTTACTATAATGTATGCATTACTGAATGGTGAAATACAATCAAACATAATAATTGGCAATGAAATACAGTACCATCAGAAATGATTAATCCCAAACAGTACCCAAACTCTGTTGTGTTTTTGTGTGTGTGTGGTTTCTTTTGATGAATGTGTGCACCAGAGAACTATTTTTCAAACACAACTTATTTTTAGTAATGGATGCAGTGAAGCTGTTGGTCCCAAGGCTTTAAAATATTTTAGACTACCAATAATATTGCATATGCAATAAACAGTTACTGTATTTTAAAATATTGTATAGTAATTATTGCATATGGCAGATTTGGTAGCATCACCAGTAAGTAAGGTTGCCTAGCACTTTCCATTATAATACCTCGTTTTCAGTTGCTTATAACTTTGCCAAACTTTAACAGTTCAGACTGAAAATTTTCATGCCGGGAATCTAGCTTAGGCTACTGTTTTTGTTAGTTTGTTTTTTGTTTTGAGAACAAATTAGCTGTTTTGGAGAATGAGATTAGGGGAAAAGAAGTTGTTAAATAATTCTTACAACCTTTTCCTCAAGAAGTCCTCATGCCTGTATGCTTTGGAGCACGGATTTGCAATTTAACAGTGGGTTGCTTTTATGTGAAGGATGTATCTTTTGCTGTTCCTGTGAAAATCCACTCAAATTTGATTAAGTTGTAAGCTTCTGGAAATTGCAGTTTGCACATGCTTAGTGAAGATTCGTTAGAGACTGTTAACATTCTTCAAAGATTCCGTCTGTAGTGAGCATGCTTCAACCTAGGGATGCAGGTGCAGGATTTTCCCTGCAATTTATCCTTCTGGCTACTAGGGGCCGCTGTTGCATCAGGCACTGGAGCTGAGATCAGAGAGACTTTCGCCCTAGGGCTCTCAAAGCGGACTCAACCCCACTGGCATTCAGGCAGCATGGAGGTGAAGGGGTAACTAGCCTGGTACAAATACAGATTGGTAAATCCCCACGTTTTTCACAAATGCAAAGTAACGCACAGAAAGGAAAAGAACCTTTAAAACCAACATAAAATGAAAAACTGACCATACAGCAGCAGCTCCTGTCCTGCAGGGCTGCGGCCAGTTCCCTGCTCTGGGCATTGCAACCCAGTCCATGGTCACAGTGCTACTCATTTAAATTTGGCCTGGTCACCCTTCCAAAGGGCCACTCATCGAGCGGTAGGACAGAACTCCCCCCCCTCAGGACTTCCCACCCCACTGGAGGAGAGGGGCTAGATGGGGTGTTGGGGTTCAGTGTGGGAGGGAGAATATATAAGGTGGGTTAGGGGAGGGGCCACTGGGACTGATGGGGGGTGCTGGATCTCAATATGGGAGGGGGAATATTTGAGCGTAGGGAAGGGTTTTCTGGGGCTAATGGGGATTTTTTGGGGGTGATATTTAATAGGAGAGGGGTGTATATAAGGAGGGATGGAGGCATTTGCAGAGGGTCCATGGGGATAGGAGCAGAAGAGTGCAGGAGTCATGGTGGTGTATAGGAGCTGAGAGGGTAGGGCACAAAAGTCGGGATGGTGGGGTGGATAGACAGAGAGTGTGGGGGGGATCTGGGGTCTGGAGAGATTGTGTGTCTCTGTTCGTAACCAGAGGCTGGGCTGAAGGGTAGAAGGATAAATAACCACTAGAAATAATCCATTTCAGAATCTGGAATCTACCTCAGGATTTCCGAGTTTCTACATTTTATCACTTCAAAAGTTTTTTTCTCTCACTTAATTGGCCTCTCAGAGTTGGTAAGACAACTCCCACCTGTTCATGCTCTCTGTATGTGTGTATATGTATCTCCTCAATATATGTTCCACTCTATATGCATCCGAAGAAGTGGGCTGTAGCCCCCGAAAGATTATGCTCTAATAAATTTATTAGTCTCTAAGGTGCCACAAGTACTCCTGTTCTTTTTGCGGATACAGACTAACACGGCTGCTACTCTGAAATATAGAAATATATTTCTCACATCCTTCAGAAGCAGTGCAAAGGCTTGGGGGAGTCAGGGATAACGGAGGAGCTGAGGGAGAGGGAAGTAATTGCTGGGAACGAGTCTAGGTGAGAACCTGGAGGGTTGTTGGGTGTGGGTGGGAGAAGTATGAAACAGATTTTTTTGGGGTGGGAGGATTGTTACGGAGCCTCCCCCATGCAGATCCTGGCTGACCCTTAGCCTCTCTCATTCAGTAAGGCACATTTGCCCCCGTCCCCATGTGTCCCTGCACCCCCACTCAGCTGCTCCTCTTTCCCCATCTCCATGTGTTCCTGCACCCTCACTTCCATTCAGCCCTTTCCCCAGTCTGTCTCCCCCACTAGCCCTTCTGACCCCTAGTCTGTGACCCCTCCCCCCCAGCAGCCCCATGTGCCCCATGCTGTCCATCCTCCCATATCCCAGGCCTCCTGACCTGGTCCCCAAGCAGGGCGCTGTGAGGAACACAACCTCTTCTCTTTCCGATCTGCAGCTGAGGCTGCTCTGGCCCGGGAGCAGCTGCTCTCTGTTCTGGTACCACAGCAGCCTCTGATGGGCAAAAGGCATAACTGCAGCACCTCTCTGGCAGAATGTATTTTCTGTGGAGGAAAAAAAAATTATGTGCATGGCATGAATTCTGCGCATGTGCTGTGGCGCAGAATTCCCCCAAGAGTACTAAAGGAAACAGCTAAGGCAAAGCTAAGGGAAAAGCAGGGTGGATTTTGATCCAGGAGATCACGTGTAGTCCAGATTTTCACCTAGATTAATTGAAGAAAGTATCGAATGGCAAAAACCACTCATCATAAACTGCATAGATTTTTAAGAAAGCATTTGACAGTTTCTATTGTGATTAACTCTGGAACATCTTGTCAGAAATTATGGCCTGCAGCAGAGCTAATCTCCAGGCAGCCTTATCAGTATATGTGGCCTGCACCAGATTGCCTGATTGGAGCAACAAAAGAATCTGTTGGACTCTCGAGGGAGTCACCCCCTTCCTTTGATAAAAGACAGAGAGAGCATGGCACATGTCTCTCCCTTTTATCATGTCCTTTCTTCCCTGTTGGCTTTGCCCCCCTACCCCCCTTCAGCGTCAGGTGAGCATTACCTCATCGCAGTTCCAAACTGACCAGAGGAAGGGGGGTACTCCCTTGAGAGTCCAACAGATTCTTTTGTTGCTGCCTAAGCCAGTGTCCTTGGTTCCTGTGAGGCTGGGCTGGGTTTGTCCCATGCATTCCCCAATGAGGCGTGAACTGCCTTTCTGTTAGAGAGTTTTTGCATGGGCTTGCTTTAAGCCATGAGGATACATTTTCAGCCTCATAACTATATACATGAAATTATAACCTTACTATAACATCACTATAACAGCCATGCTCAGTGCATCATGAACCTTCCGAAGACAGTCAACATGACAAACTTTGCATTGGATACCACACAATCATTTTATAAAGATGAACATGAGGGTGTAGGGTGTTCCCCTGAGGTACAGAGCCTCACACCTGCTTTTAAGCCAGCAGGAGTTTGCTGGCTGCTCAGTGCTCATGCACATCACTGTACCTGCTCCTGTGTTACCTTGTTCCTGCTGCCCCAGCATTGCCTCTGTCCTTCCGCTGTCTTGAACCCTTCCTTGCCTGCTATTCTGCTAGCTCCAGTTCCTGACTTCCGCCTTGACCTGTGGCTTTGGCTTCTGATTACCAACTCCAGATTGACCCTTGGCTCTGGCCTCCAGTTTGACCCTTGTCTCCAGCTTCCAACTATAGCTCTGACTCTAGTACTTGGTTCCTGATGCCCGCTCTGACCACTAGGCTAGACTGCCCTGGTCCTGGTTGGCTGATGCATCTTGAAGTGTTGTTGTTAATTTTTTGGCATATCACATCAACATGGCTTTATAGCAAGGGGCAACAAGCACAGTTAAAATAAACACTGGCTTGAGCAAATGTGTCAACATAGAAAATGATGTCATTCTTTCACCTCTCCTGTTTGGTATTCCTATTAATTTCATTATGAGGAAAAGGGTAGATGGATAGAACACAGGCATTGCATGGTTCAACAAAAGTACATTAGAAGATATAGAGCTGACAACTCTTCTAAGTGTCAGCTCAACTAACATGCAAGCAAAGGCGAAAACCCATCCAGCACTGGAAAAAAATGGGAGTAATAATCAGTAGAGCTGGCTGGAAATTTTCCATTGGAATAATTTTCGGATGGAAAATTCCAGACACTTGTGCCTTAATATGCATTCACAGTAGCTGTTTTTACAATCTATGTGGCGATTCTACCCCCACATTTTGAAGGCCATGATCAAATGTGCAATAGAAATGCAAAACTTGAAGGACAGTTGTAAATTGCTGTTTATATCTTTTTGTCCTTAATAATAGAACTATATCTTGACATTTACAGATTTTATGTTTTTATGAATATACAGAATACATGGGTAGGCTAAAGTCTTTTATTGTTATAGACTCTGTAGGTGTCAGCCAGAAACGGAGAAGGAAGGGGAAAGTGTAGTAGTTCTTAAATAAATAAATAAATATATATATATATATATATAGATATAGTTATAGTTATAACTCATTTTCAATTCACTCTTCTTTTTCCAAGCCAAAACAAGTTTTCAGTCAAATGCAATGTTTTACAAAAAGGTTTTAAAATAATGTTGCAGTATAAAAACATTTTAAAAATACAATCACGCAATACAAGCACAGTCAGGACAGTAACATGAGAGAAGCTGCTCTTTTGGACAGTAGCTCTTTGGAAAAAGTACTCCTGGGGGAATTCTGCACCAAAAAAATAAAAATTCTGCCCACAATATTTTAAAATTCTGCATATTTTTGTCAAAAAAATGTGATATAATCCAGCTGGTTTCAATTATCTTGGTAATTTAAACTACAATACAGTGGATGGAGAATGGGAGTGGGGAGCATCGGAGGAAATCCCCAAACCCCCTCTGTCTAATAGTAATATAGCTAGTATTAGAGGGGTAGCCGTGTTAGTCTGGTT